CCAGGGCCTCACGCGTACAAGGCAAGCGCTCTACCACTGAGCTACAACCCCAGTCCAGAAAAGATGTGTTTAACGTTAGACTTAGGTTTATTCTTCTTGAGGTCTATTAGTTTCAAATAGTTTGAACAGTTTATCTAAGCTCTTTTCTTAAAGGTCAGATGATAGTATCCATCCTCCTAAAGCAAGGGATCCAGTATGTAGTAGACGTCTAGTAAATGTTGGTTAACACTGTCTTCTTTTTCTTCCTTAGATTGCATAATTATTTATTGAGCACCTATCACATGTTAAACCCCTTTCCTGGCTCTGAAATGAATAAGCACCAGTTAACAAGGCAAAAGAAGTCCCTTCCCTCCCTGATGGAGTGTACATTCTATGGAGTGGATAGAAAAGAAAAAAGGAAATAAATCATACAATTGAAATTAGGATAATTTATTTTTGAAGAAAAGCAAATTTCATTTTGATAGGGATCAGGATAACAGAATGCAGATCGAATGCAAATGTACCTTTTAAAATATCTACTCTATAAAAACTTTAAGAGACTTTTTAATTCTTTTATGTGGGCACTGCAAGATATGTAGTCTTCACAGTAAACCTGCAGAAGCCTGAATCCTCCATTGGCCACATTCCTACTGCAGGATTAGGCAGAAATGTGCTCAGTAACTACTTACATGATTAATACTGGGAAGAAGTAGAAGTTGATTGTTATCAGGATTTTAGCAGGCAGAGAAGCAGGTAAATACCATTTTGGTGAGAAGGTCAAGCCCATTGTGGAGCAGCAAAATAAAGAGCTGCAGGAATTTTGTGTCTTGGAATGGCAGGGAGCCAGTCATGGACTTCTTTCCTTGGAATGAGTGAGCAGAGTTACGAACAGCAACCTATGATCAGAGGGTCTGCTGGACTCAGAGGAGAGCAAAGGGAGGTAAGGGTGGGTGCTTGGGCATAAGCCTTTTGAAGAAGCTATGAGGGAATTCTGACTCAGTCTGTGGGTTGGGATCAGTGTTTGGCATATGAGAGGTGTTTCATAAACATTTGTTGACTGACTATTGCACTGGCTCAAAGACATAGGATAGCTGAGGCCAGGTGGTGCTTTCCACAGTTAGGAGAAATAATATTGTCCCTCCACAGCTGAGGGAAGGAGCTGAACAGAAAGACTGAATATGGCTCAAATAGGGCTTAAAAAAAGAAAAGAGATTTCTAATGTGTTTCAGCCATGTTAAAATCAAATGGCAGACAGACAATAAAAAGCAAAATGTACTAACTGAATTAATATTACTGTGTCAGTTAGTTATGGCTGCATAAAAAGAATAATGCTCCCAATTTCATGGCTAAAAGCAATATGTATTACTTATGAGTGCACAGATCTGTTGAGTGGTGCCTTCTCCATATCTCAGTAGGGCACATTCATGTATTTGGAATGAGCTGTGGGATGGGTGGGCAGCTCTGTGGGCCTGGGGCCCTGGATACACTCTCTTGCATGTTAGGGGTTGGCTGAGGTAACTGGGTCTCCTTTCGTGTGGTTTTTCATCTTAGAGACCAGGATAGACTGGGTTTGTCTACAAAGCCGCAACAAGGTCCAAGAGTGAGCAGAAGTATGCTTGGTCTCTTGAGGCCTCAACTCAGCACCAGCAGATGCTTGTGAGCTGCAGCAAGTGCCAAACCCAGCCCAGATTTAAGAGGTGGGGACACCAGCAACACTGCTGGATGGGAGACACTGCAAAGTCACATTGCCCAGAACGTGGACAGAGTGAGGGGTGAACAAAAGGCAGCACAGTTTTTGCAGCCATGACTCCTATGACAGGCCCTGAATTATACACTGACAGTCATCCCTTATGTTTTCCAAAATCCCCCATGGGTGTCTGAAACTGAAGGTACTACTGAAATCTGTACTTTTTCTCTGTTTTTCCTATCAAATACAACTTCAACAGAGTTTAACTTATAAATTTAGGGCCCAGTGTGAGATTAACAATGATAAGAAAAGTGATGACAGTGTACCGTAATAAAGTTATGAATTGTGTATTCCTGAAAATTTCCATTTAATATCTTCAGACCACTGTTGGCCTCAGGTAAGGGAAACCCTGGAAAGTGAAACCAAGGCTGGGATCACGGTTGTATGTGATTTTTTGTCCTTGTCTGACTCTTGCGGACTATTCTAGAAGGAAGCAGTGTGTTTGGTCTGCACCATTTGCGCTTATGGAGCAGCCGAAGTGTTCAATGTGCAAGTGAGAACATGGTAAACATACTTCATAGGATAATCAGAGTACATCTTTGTGGTGTGAAGTAAGCAATAAGTCTAAATGGCATCTGGTAGTGGTTCCTGTTTATCTTTGTGATTCAAGTGTTTTTATGAGTCTTAAAATATGCTTTATTAACCAAAGACCCCCTCCCCTCCTTTTTAAGTTTCAGCCAGTAGCTTACCAGACATTGTTCGCAGGCTGGCGTTCACAAACACTGTGTGTCTCACTTCGCCTGATCTCTGTAGCTTTCTAAAGTTGCTAATGACGCATGAGTGCAAGATTATACTTTTATATAGTTAAAGAACATTTTTTTTCTCTTATAGGCCAATCTGTTTGTCCCCTCTTTGGGCCTTTTATTTTGAACTTTAAAATATAGACTTAGTTTCCTCAATGATAGTTTTTGCCAACCAAGTCATGTTTTGTGTTCTAGAACTCTGGGCGACTTATATTTTTTCTATCTTCCAGTCATTTCTTAAATATTAGTGTTAGTCATTCACTTACACGTTTTAAAGAATGCCTGCCCTCTTGTGTCCAGAGAGGCTGCTACAGTAAGGAGTGAACTAGCAAACTGAACCGTGCCAGAAAAAGGGTATTCTAAACTAAGGGGATTTTTCTACCAAAAAGCTTGCTCAACGTTGCCAAGCATGGTTGTACATGTGAGCACTGTAAAAGAAAAACAGACCAAGAAATGAATAGTTATTGAATACTCCTACACTCTGCCAAGCTAGATATACTCTTCAAGTCCAGACTGTGTCTTCCCAGAGAGGACACTCACTAAAATTTCATTCAAGGGTGTCATTGTACCACCTTGTACCACCTGGAGTGTGCAACTGTCCCTAGTTTACACAAACCTCTAAATAGCCTATTGGCTGCCTTGTGAAGAAGCTCTTTAAGTTAGTTGGACACTCCTGCCATCATGTGAATTTCATGGAAATTTTCAGAAATTTCCAGAAGTTATACATTGTTAGAGCTGAGTGGCATCACTTAGTCCCAGGCTATCAGAGGAAGGGAATAGGAACAGAGGCAGAATGAGACTTGTCCCACTCATTAGGGGCAGTGCAGGTAATTAAAATGCCCCTAATGAGTGGGCATTCTGACTCTCAGTCCAAGCTTTCAAGTCTTTAACCAAGTGATCTATTACTTGAACTCACCTACCTATTTTATTCCAGAACTATTGCGTAGAGTGCTATTGAAATGATTTTAGGTGACACAGGGACAAATATTTTTTGCACATTAGTAGAAATGTATTTGTTTTAATGTGTTTTATGGGAAAAAACCCAAAACATTAAACCTGTAGTTCCTTAGACATTATTGTATATGACAAGGCTAAGTTTTAAAACGGAGTTAATATAAAGAAAAATATTAAGTAATGTATATGTTAAAGAACTCGAATTAGCTTTTCACAATTGTGTACACATTTGTTAAAATGTCATGCTATAGGTCATAAAACTGTGAAAATTTTACTTTTTAATTAAAAAAATGAAAATATCAACAACAATTTAGATAGTTCTCAGATATGACAAAAATGACCAAAGTGGTGTAAAAATGATGGAAGTTTGGGACTACTATTGGGAAGTTTGGTGGAAGTTTTGGGGCTACTCCGTCTATTCTGACTGCTGTAACAAAATACCTTAGGTTGGGTAATTTATAAACTATTGAAATTTACTGTGTGAAGACCTAGGTTCTAGCTCCAGCACTAGGAAAAAAAAAAATTGCTCACAGTTCTCAAGACTGGGATATCCAAAATAAGATACCAGCAGATTCCATGTCAGCGAGTGCCCTTTCCCATAGATGGTGCCTATTTCTGTGTCCTCCTAAGGCTAAAGGAGTTAGCAAGCTCCTGGAGCCTCTCTTATAGTAGCATTAATCCCATTCATAAAAGATGCACCAGAAGACTGTATTACAAAAAGCCCCTCATTGGGGCCTTTCCTGACATTTCTTTAACATCGTTAGCTTGTCCACTTGATGTCAGTTACTGATGACAATGTATCCTTTCACTGTTACAGCTGCACTTGATCTATGTCTTCCACACTCAGCCCAATATAAACCACAAAATAGGTATTCAGAAAAGACTTGTTGAGGGCTGGGGATATAGCTCAGTTGTCAGAGTGCTTTTGCCTTGCATGCACAAGGCCCTGGGTTCAATCCTCAGCACTACCTACCTACACACACACACACACAAACACACAAAGGTAAAGACTTGTGGCTTCACCAATTTTCCAGTGTTGTCCCAACATTGACCCAGAGTATTAAGTATCCTAATTTCAAAACCATGTTCACATTTACTCATGTAGACGTTTTCCACTTATAAAAATCATGTAGACTCATAAAATTGTAAAATACAGAAAAGTAGAGAGAGAAGAAAAAAGACATTTATTTTCTTAATTCTTAATTGTGCAAAAATGAGCCCTGATAATATCCTCCCTAATTAAAAGTTAGCTTGAAGAATCCTAGCGAGTTGGGCTCTACTTCTGTGTATCATTTTGGAAATTTGGATTTCTCCTGATTTAAAATATTTGTATCACCCCAAATCATAAAATCAAACAATGGAGAATCTAGGGATAGAGGTCTATGGCCACCTCCTTAAGCAGCAGTTGGGTAGCTGCCCCAGAGGTAAGTCAAAGCTGGGAGAGTCTCCTGTGGATCAAGGAAAATAATAGCTGATAGTTTGTAAAGTGCATTGGCTATGTAAAATTATGCACTAAAAGTGATAGTAAAATATTCCATATATACATATGCTGATTTGTGTATTTGTCTTTTCTGTAGGGTTTTTGGAGTCCCTGGATGACTTTTACATTCTTAGCAGTGGTTTGGTATTGCTGCAGACCACAAATAGTGTATATAATAAAACTCTACTGAAAGAGGTGATTCCTGAGTCTCTCCTGGCCTGGCAACGGGTCCGTGTGGCAAATATGATGGCATCTGATGGCAAGATGTGGGCAGATATCTTTTCAAAATACAACTCTGGTAAGTGGCCTTGCAGAATAGCTTTTAGGCACATATATATGTTTAACTTTAGAGTTGTTAACCAGTAAAGCCACATCCACACTATGTCTTTGTATCTCCCAATATTTTAGGCACCTATAATAATCAGTACATGGTCCTGGACCTGAAGAAGGTAAAGCTGAATAACAGCCTTGGCAAAGGCACTCTGTATGTTGTGGAGCAAATTCCTACATATGTAGAATATTCTGAACAAACTAATGTTCTACGGAAAGGTACCTTCTTCATGCTGTGTCTGAAAGTTTGATGAGTATGGGCATGCGAATATTTATATGCTTGGCATGTTTATGGTGTGTGAACAGATGATGGGCAAGAAAAGATGGGGATGCCATTGCTAGTTACACTGGGAAAAAATTAACAAGTTCAACACAACTGGTAAACCTATACCTCAGTTCATAAAGGACCATGGGCAGACTGGGATACAGGTCAGGCATTCATAAACCTGACTTTTTGTGGTGCTAATATTGCCTTCTCTCCTGGATTTCTGGTTAAAGTTTTACATTCAATTCAGCAAGTATTGATGGAGTACTACTTTGGCTCAGGCTGAAAAAGCCTGCCCATAAAGAGCTCAGTTGTTTAGTATAGAAGGTTTGTCTCCATACACTTCACTTCTATGCTAGACTGAAGAATCTAGGATAAACTATTTGCATTGCTTGATTTGAATCTTGACTCCTCAAAACCATGGTCAAATTATCCTACCTCTCCAAGCCTCAATTTCTTCATCTGTAAAACAGGACAGTCTTGGAGTAGATCCACAATCATTTATTTGTGATTTTTGAAATCCCAAAATTGTAGAACCAAAAACTTTGTTGTTTTTGGTCTTGGCTCACTTGGTAGCAAACTATTACATGATCTGAACTCATTTACGAGTTAAGAAGGGTTGCATAGGCCACGTGGTGGGTACTGATTGGCAGGGTGAGTAAGGAATGGTGAGCGGACACTGTGTCCAGCAGGGATTGGTCGAGAAAACTTTTCAATTTGGCGCCCTTCGGAGAGGAGGGGGAGGGGTAAGGGATTACGTGATGTTCTCACGAGATGGAAACAACTTCAGTGGGGAGTCTCCCACACACCCAACAATTATTTCCTCTTAAAGATTTATCTTATAATTAGGTTGTAAAAATATGAACATTTTTCATTATGAGATGTTCCCCAAAGAAAATGTCATACATATGTACTCCATGCTATACTAGAATCTGGAAAACAACAACAAAAACCCTCAATTCTGAAACTTATTTGGCTCCTGATAATTTTTGGATGTAAGAATATAGATCTTTACAATTTCACAGGGTAGTCATGAAAATTGAGAGAGGTAGTAGTGGGAGAAAATGTTAGCCTCATAAATCTATAAAGCAGTATAACCTTTTTGTGTAGGAAATGAGAGTTTTTGGCATGGGAAAACAGACTAAACATTGTAGAGGAGAAAGGAGACTAGTTATGAGACCATGAGACTAGTTAAAAGATGACTATAATGGATTATCAGCTGATAGATGAGTAGGAACAAAACCAAGACAAAGTGTGGTCCCTGGGGATCAGGACCTGGTCCTCAGTTTCCCAGGTCACATTTTGTAATGATTTCTGGAGTGAGRCATCTCAGCATAGAGTGATTCACACCAACTAAATGCTCATAAGACTTATGCATAAAGCAATTTTTTAAGGTGGGGGTTTCAACTGCATGCAGTTCATATCCTACAAAGCAGGAGACCTTTCTCCTTCATTATAGGGAAAAATAGTAAGAAGCCAAATAATTAAATAGTTACTTGGCTAACACAGCAGTTCAAAACTGAGAATCTAGCTGTCCAACCACAGCTCCTAAAAGTATCCCTCAAGAGAAAGATGCTTGCTCAAAGTCGCATTTCATCTTTGCACTATATACATATACATTATATTTTTTTTTGTGTGTATACATACACACATATGGGAGGGATATATTTTTGGATACATAATTATTTGGCTTCTTACAATTTTTCCATATAATATATATATCAGCATCAACTCTTTTTAGTCTTAGGGAATTTTCATGGGGTTTAAGAAGGGGATTGGAAAGAACCTAAATGCACCATTCTATCAGCAATAATGCAACGAAAAAAAATGCTACTTTGATCAAGCATCTCTCTCTTGAGGCACACTCTTAGGAGCTGACTGCTTGAAGTTTGAACAGCTAGGTTCTTGGTTTTGATTTGCTCTGTTAGCCAATAAAATAATAATTGTGTATCACCAGGTTGTTGTAAGACTAAAGTTGCTTTATTTTAAATGCTTTTGTAAATCATGAAGCTTTATGAAAATGTAAAATAGCAGTCATTTTCTATTACTCATTTGAGCTGGTCTCATAAAAAGAAATATAATAGTTATTATTCATCTAATGTTTACCAAGTATTAGACAATACCGTAAACACATTTGAATGCATCTCACCCATTTTGTCCCTATGTTCTAGATACAGAACACCTATAAAAGCTAAAATATAGTATATAATATATAATTGTAATACATTAATATTAATAGTTAACATTTTACTGTAAATCTTAGAAACATGATGCACTCAAATAAGTGATGTTGTATAGTTAATACAATATATAAGCTTTAGATTATGATTTCTTATCTATTTTAAGGTACCTGTGTCAAATTTTTTAGAATTCTTGCAGGATTGAAACTTGGAACTTAATGGGCTAATGCTCACAATAACCCTTGTAAGGCAAATAATGTCACTGTTTACATTATAAAAATGAAGAAACTGAGGCACAGGTAGAGTAGGTAATTTGTCCAAGGTCACATAGCTAATAATGGCTGAACCAGACTTCAAATTCAGGCATATTAACTCTTGAATCTATATAACCTAGATACATTCTAGCAACAAATGTGTTTTTTGTTTTTTTTTTAATCCTAAAATGTCAGTGTCATTCTTATCTCTTTCTTCCTGATGCTCTGTCCCAGAATTAGCAAGGTTAAAATAACTCCTTCTTGTCTAGGAGATCCCATACAACAATATAATGGAGACAGGCAAACAAAGGCCAAGAATATAGAGGTGATAAATTATTCCTTGAATGGTAGACACATTCTTATTTTGAATGACTGCCCTCTTTGCAATAACCCAGGCCAGTGTTATTTAGGATGTTCCTAAAATGCTTCTACGAGTTGTGTCATACGTTTGGTGCTAAATGACTAACGAACTGTGTGGCTGTGGCATACTATGAATATTTGAATGAAGCTGAGGTTTTATAGATGTTTGTAGTCGAAGGAGTTAAAAAGTCTACTGGAATATTAAAAGCCATCCCCAGCTCCCTCACATTGTAGGCTTCCTCTTTCCCTCCCACTCTTTCACAGAAGAAAAAAAAATTTGAGGCTAATTGCCTACGTTCTATTCATCCATCCCTGAGCCTAGAATTTAGGTGTTTAGTTTTCTTATCCCCAACACTGTGTTTTAGGTGTTTAGTTTTCTTATCCCCAATCACTATCCATGATTAACAATTGAAGTCTCCCTTTTGGGGCCACATTGTGAACCATCTTTTGGCATTTCTGTAGCTGTATCACTTAAGTGAGCTCCCATACACTTTGCATTATATGTTGTTTTGCTTTACAGATAATAGGTCATTTTCTGGTTTACATATTCAAGAATTTGGGGATAAAGACAAAGAATTCTAATGTTGTTCTTCCCCTAACAAAATAATATAGAGGTATACCAATCTCTTCCATTCTAAATTAGGATATTGGCCTTCCTACAACATTCCTTTCCATGAAAAAATCTACAACTGGAGTGGCTACCAACTGCTAGTTCAGAAGCTGGGTTTGGACTATTCTTATGATTTAGCTCCACGAGCCAAAATCTTCCGGCGTGACCAAGGCAAAGTGACTGATATGGCATCCATGAAATATATTCTGCGATACAACAGTACGTAGCACATTTCTCAAGAATCATTCTTCAAAACTCCTTTTCTTCCCCATGGATAAAGAATCCATGTAAGTTTAACATCTGTGTACTAGAAGGAATTTTAAGAAGTTATTTAAGTATTTAGTATTCAATTAAAACTTCACATTTTTTATACTCAGCAAACAGAATTTTGGTCTCCTTTATAATATAATAGGGAAGATTCTACTTGAAAAAAACATATGTAAAACACACAGAAAAAATAAGCTATACAGGCTTATTTTTTATACAGGATATCCCTCTATCCCCCAAACATAGGTTTCCTTCCAAGGGCAAAAACAACTAATAAAAACAAAATATTCATTACTGATTTTTGGAAAATAGTATCAAAATCAAATTTGTATTTCTTTTATTAGAAAAAAAATAATGCACATTTATCTTCTATTATTTCTCTTCCATCCACTCTTCACTGTGCAAGGTTCTTGAGGCAGGATAGGCCTTGTGCAGAGGATTTGCAGTTAATTGCTCCTAACATAAGCCAAGAGATGTCTGTATCTGGGAGCAAGCTAAGCTTTCAGGCTTTAATATGTCTCTACATCTAGTATTAACAAGTCCAGAAATCTTACAATGGACAAGTGTATCTCAGAATAGCCAATACTCACTCTTTTCCCCAATATTTTGTTTTCTAGATTATAAGAAGGACCCTTATAGTAAGGGTGATCCCTGTAATACCATTTGCTGCCGTGAGGACCTGAACTCAGTTAACCCAAGTCCAGGAGGTTGCTATGACACAAAGGTAACATACAGTTGGCTCTTGAATTTAATGTCAATCAATAAGTAGGCCGAAGGCAAAGTTGAAGAGGTTGTCTTAGCATAAAGAATAATGTCCCTAAACATAAACTAAATTCAGGAATCAGCTTTTTCAGAGATTCTGGCAGTGGATCCCATTGCCTAACTACAAGTCTCCTCTGCCACTTAATAGGAAATCTCACAATTTTGTAATGTTTTCATTGCCTAACTTGTAAAGTGAAAACAACAGTACTTACCTCTTAGTGTCTTGTGAACAAACTTTTAATATCCATAAAATGTTTTGTACAGGAAGTATTTACAAATGTACATAATCATGATGGTGATAAGTTTTACCAGACCTACTCCCAAATCCAAAGAACATATTATTGAGAGCAGTGTTATTTCACATTAAACATAACTGAATTTAGTTGAAGGAACAAGAATACTGGACCAGGTGCCCAAAGCACTAAAGGGTTTCCACCATGTTAGAATTGATAAGTATTGTAATAGGCCTCAAATTATAGGTAATAAATAGGTTTGCAGTAGTGTGCTGAAGTCCACTCATATGGTATGCCAGAACTAATTGTTAGTTGATATACTGATGGCTTAAAATCTGATGGCAGATTTACACCATGGAAATCAGCAAACATTAAAATCCAGGGTTTTTTCCATCAGAGCTGCTTGCTACTTGACCTATGGTTTATGGATGTCCTAGAGGACAAGTTAACAGGTTGATGGACATAATCATTCTACTACATCTTTTTGTACTTTTAGCTTCTATATGTTGTCTTTTCACTTGCATCACCTGTCCTAAATTGTGGAAGAAAACTTTTACTTTTTTTAAAGAGTGAACTATTCTTCATTGGCTTAGAAAATCATGGGACTGCTGGTATTGTTTACACATTTATTTTTCTATCTGCCTAATTCTTAAACAGGAAATGCATTTAGTAGTTGAGTTCCAGCTCAACCTTCTTTTACACTACGTGAGGATTGAAAGGTTTGGTCTTGATGCTCAATTTTTGTGTAACTAAAAAAAAAAAAAAGGTAGTGGTGGTAGTGGGGGAGGAATGTAGAAAGCCAGGCACCCATGAAGCCCCAACAAATGTTTGTATTTCATAGTATTTGCAAACATTGAGCAATGAAGTGTTATATTTGTCCCAGAATAGACCCCCCCACACACACACAAAATCACCTTTGCTGTCTTGCCTGCAAGAATCCAGCCTAGCTTCCATCTTCAAATTCTGTCAAAGGATATGTTAAAAATATAATTCTCTTTTTGCTGGGTGTGGTGGCACATGTCTGTAATCCTAGCAGCTCAGGGGGAGGATCACAAGTTCAAAGCCAGCCTCAGCAATGTAGTGAGGCCCTAAACAACTCAGTAAGGCCCTGTCTCTAAAATATAAAAAGGACTAGGGATGTGGCTCAGGGGCTACGTGGCCCTGGGTTCAAACCTCGGCACCAAAAAAAAAAAAAAAAAAAACCTAAAAAAATAAACAAGCCAATTCACTTAAAAAACAAAAAACAACTTAGTTGTAGATGGGATACAATACCTTTATTTATTTTTATGTGGTGCTGAGGCTTGAACCCACTACACCACTGAGCTAGTCTCAGCCCCTAATTCTTTTTATAGCCATTTTGAGCACAGGATTTTTTTTTCCTGTATTACCTGGTGTTTGCAAGAACCATGGACCTCATTTTTTGATAATCAGTTCCTTCTACTTAAAAACTAATTACTGACCTGATAATAACTGTGAGGACTTTATTGTCTATGGTTTGCTCTAAGTATTTCTTTAATTAAATCTCATGAAAATTCTGTGAAATAACAGGGTTATTAGCTCATTTTGCAAATGAAAAAACTGAGTCATGGAGGGGTTAAGTGCTTTCTAAATAAGTTTTGAAGGTAGAATTCTGAATATGAGTAAGAATGTAGACCTCATTTCTTCTATCAGTCAATACATACTTGAAAGTGAAATGGATATAGAAGAGTATATTACAGGAAATTTTAATCTTAAAGTCCAATATTGTGACTTTGGAAAGAGAAAAGTGAAAATAAAGGCCATGCACTTAGTCAAGGTTTTTTCCCCAAATGGTTTTCTAAAATGCTCTCTTCCCCTCTCTTTGCAGGTGTCAGATATATACCTTGCATCTCAGTACACAGCCTATGCCATTAGTGGTCCCACAGTACAAGGTGGCCTCCCTGTCTTTCGTTGGAACCGTTTCAACACAACTCTGCATCAGGGCATGCCTGAAGCCTATAACTTTGATTTTATTACCATGAAACCAGTTTTGAAAATTGACATAAAATGAAGGTGGTACATGAGGGAATAGAACATTGCAAACAAGATACCAAAGGTTCTATTTTAGCTGTTTTTCCCATCAGAACTATTCTTAATAAAATATATTAAATTCAGTTTGTCATTTTAATTGTACAATGATTCATTTTTTGTTTTGTTTTTTTTTTAGCAAGCATTCACTTGTTTGGAACGCTTTAGAAGAAACATTATATATGACATAATACTAGGCTTCAGTGTACAAACTAACACAAAATAGTATAGCAAAAACTACTATTCGTTTACCAAAATCCATTATTCTTCTTTTATGCCTGCAGAGACCAGACTACATCTCCCAGACTCCTTGGGCAGTTGTGCCACATGACTAAATTCTAGTCAATCAAACCTGAGATGAGTGCCACTTCCAGGCTACTAAGAACTTGTACTCCTCCCATGTTCTCTTTCTCCTGGCTGAATATGCTTAATGACAAAGCCTTAGAGGATGGTGAAGCTGTTGGTGATTTCTCTGTTCATCAATAGGCATTAGTTGAGTCTTTGTGGTACAGGCTAGGAATACAATACAGCAAACCTCACTGTTGTCTCGAATTAAAAGCATTGTATCCCATTTGACAGCAATTCTGCATAGCAAATTTTCTTTTTGAGTGAATATACAGTGTACAACAGGGTGATTAAAAAATAAGATGGGAGATTTTCAAAAGAAAAAAAACTACAAGGGCTGATAATAATCAGAATGAATCAGTACTCAGAATGTTAAAAACCCAGTCATTTATTTCAAAGTATAAATTTCAGGCTTGTTGGACAAAACCCCACTACAGTTAACACTTAAAACAGACGCCACTCTATTGTACATTTAAGAAAAAAAGGAAAAAAAAAAAAAGACACAGAAACCTTCAAAACCTAATAAAAACAGGGCAACTTTCTACAGCCCAGTTAATATTAGGCATTAGGAAGGTCTTACATGGTCTTATTATTTACACTTTCAACTGCAATTAACAAAAATCAGGATGCAAGCTTCCTACAAAAGGATTTATACTTATATATAGTTTTGAAATGGTTGTTTAAAATACTAAAGCCAGGATCCCCAAAGGTGTTTGATTGCCCAGTTACCTTATTTACAAAAAAAAAAAAAAAAAAAAAAGAGACAACAGCATTTAAATGTAAATGACAGGTATTTAGTTGACTCTACAAATAAAAAACTAAGAAAGTTTATTTTGACATGATAAGATCATGTGAGGGTGAGAATATAAAAACATGTATTGTATTATCCTATACCCTCCCCTTTTTCACTGGCTGAGGGGATAATGAGTTTCAAGAATTAGGTAAGTTTGCCATACTAACAAATGCCCCAGGATGATTACTGGTTGTTGTTGTTGTTTTGTGTGTATCTCAGAAAAACCAAACCAATGAACAAGAAACAGCATTTGCCCAGTAAATAGTTACAAAAAGCAGAATCATATATTGGTTTTAGATAATTATTTGCAATAATCTAATACTGGGACATGGTTTTTCTGGAAATTAGAATAAAGTAGGCCAACAACAGTTCAGTAATAACAACAAAAATCATAAGATACTGAGGATATTGACATGGCCCAAGAAGGAAAGTTAGGGAGAATACTTGGAAGGTATCTAAAGGACCCTATTGTGCTGAGATCACAGTATACATAAATGAGAGATACCATAGATATTATTTTGTTATCTTTTTACAGTACTGGAGAACTCATGGAACAAGATAAATGCCTATCATGGAATACTGACACTAACCTTGCTGCAAAAATGATAATTTGGAGAATACTTAGAGCAAAAAAACCAAGTAACAAAAACTAAGTTAACACTTAGACAATGCTGTGAGACTTCTGCAGAGAGATGCACCTAAGTAAGATTTTAGGTTCCTTGAAGGTTGCTTTTTTTCCAAGGTATTTATTTTAGGGCAATGGGAATGGGTGTGGGAGTGGGGAACACCTCTCTGTGAGGCAAATGGTATCCAAATATTCACTGTTCATGGAAGAAAGCTTTCCACTTCTCTTATAAAATTAAATACTGTGTGAAACAGTACAATGTATTCTGCATATTTTAAAAAGTGAGTCCAGACAAATGGAGGGATATAGATACCTTATAAAGTTAATTAACACATGTTGTCTTTGTATGCCATTTATATATTTACTAGCAAGAACATAATTTTAAAAAGAGGTTTGCTCACACTTAAAACAGGTGAAAATTACTCTGACAAGGTTCAAAGTAGAGAGTAATAAACATTACTGTTGCCATATAATCATTCCTACATTTCAGGTTGAAATATCAGAAGTTTCCAGGATTTCCAATAAGGCAATACCTATACAAGTATTGTCAGGCTAAAAATGTAGCAAACTTGCATTCCCAAAATGGGATAACTGAGCTTATTTAAAATACTTTGTGAAAAGATACCATGAAATAAAAAAGATAACCATGGAGTATGAACTGCTACTAAAAAGTTCATTATCATTAGCTATTTCTAGTTGAGTCCTCCATTCTCTCTTCCAAAGTACTCAAACAAAAAGCACTCATCAACATTTAAACCTGCCCCAAATAAAAGCCTAGCATTCTAACTTAGTCCCTTTCAGTAAATCCAGTGTGGCTATTGTACATTAATCCCATGGCAGGTTAATTTGAGGAGACCATCTTATAATAAATATACTTTTTTTTTCTTTAAATAATTACAATCTCTCTTTATACCTTCCTTCCACCATCTGGAATAAAATAAGTTTTAGGAAATTATTTTCTGTAGTAAATCTGGTTTTAGAATTACTATTTGAGAACTTAGCTTTTCTTTGACAGAAAACACCAAATATAGGCTAAAATAATTAAACATTTTCATTCTACTGGGCTTTCTTCACCTGCTTAATAATACTATGAAAACTTAAAATAAGATTAGTAAATATAAATACAAATATTCATCAAGGGAACCTTTTGTAGGCAGGATAAGCAAATTGTTGACCAAAATACTCATGACCATAAAACCAGTCAATAAAGAACAATTTTGAACATGGGCTTTCTGTTCTGCAGACAGGAATGATCTTGAACACATCATCAACATTGCAACCACTTTAGGTAAAAACATATAAACATGCAGATATAGATAGTTGCTCATATACATCTAGAAAACAATTAAGTTTCCTCCTGTTGAAATCTTTATTGCCATAACATTGGCAACTTCATTAACATCATCATTTGCCCTAGAATGAGTAATATCTACATAGTTGGATGGCAAATTTGACTTGTGGAAAATTCTAATTCTCATTGTGGTCTCATTTTCTGAGAGTGAAAGGAAGGTTAGGAGCATTTACATTTTGGCAACCTATAGGCTTTCTTCATCACCAAACTTCATATTTAAGATGACAGTACAATGACCAGTGCAGTCTCTAAAGAAAATTTCTTTACAACTATAATACTTTCTATTTTAAGCCATCAAAGTTGTAAACAAAACAATATTAATAAAAATGATAGCTCCCTCCTATTAATTCCAGGAAAAATAAATGACCAATTTATTTTGAGAAGGTAAAAATATGAATTCAAATATCACAAGAAGACTTGAAAAGTGATTTCACAAACTCCATAAATACTTTTAAAAATATTTCCAGTTGCACTCTCATCAACCCAGACCTCTTATCCTAAAAACTATCTACTCGCAAAACACTAACCTGATACCAGTATAGCTGACACTCATAATGACAATCCATGACCTAAGTTGAATTTCACTAATTTTAAAGAGAATGGAGATAACAAAATGTTATATTTCATTATTATAGAGAATGACCCAAAATAATACTTTCAATTTTATCCAAAGCTGATAAACGCTAATCAGATTAAACTTGGCACCATCAAACAAAAGGTTAAAACAGGAAGGATGACATGAAAATAAAGAGGAAATGGAACTTTCCTCTTAATATATTAGCTCATTGTATTTGGTGAATCTTACTGTTCATTTCCTTTGAAAGGCAACTGTACCATGGGTGGTTAAGTATACTAGAACTGCTTTCATAGTGTCTAACACAGTGTGCAACATAAAACAGGTCTGATGGCAAACTTTCTTAAACAATGTTTTTCTCTTGGTCCATTTTTTGAAGTTAAATAATGACTCAAAAGCATCTATACCCTTAGAAGAAACCAGCAAGTCAAGTTTTTAAAGTTAAATGATGATGCCACAGATGAGAAAAAAAAAAGTTATACGTGTGTGTGTGTGTGTACACACACATATATGTACATATAAAGGCCTTGGTGTGAACTTACTTGAGGGGGTGTGTGTGCTATATTTTGTGGAGATGATGGAGGAATAAAGGTTGAAAAGCTAAGAGCAAAGAGTAACAACAGTGGACATATGGCCATGTTTATTTCTATAGTAAATCTGTAAGGCACAAAATAAACATAAAAGCCAGGTTAAGAAACGGGAGGGTGTCACTGCAGATGTTTTTCATTTAATTAACAACTTAAGAAACAAAAAATGTACAAATTTTTTCCTGTGTTCAAATTAACCTATTTTAAACTAGTCATTTTGCTTTTTATTTCTTTGGGTTTTGTTTAGATTTAGTTTAAATCACTTAACTCTGATACTATAGATTCCTTGCAGATATTTAACCTACTTCATATGAAACAGAGGTAAATGTGAGAACAAAAATGGGAGTTTCCACTGCAATAAACATAGAAACAAAATGAACCCCCCCCCCAACAAAAAAAAAAAAAAAAAAAAAAAAGTCACACACACACACACGTTCCTAGCCTCAAAACTAAAGCAAGGTACACACATATACATTTCAAAACCCTGAAGCTGAATTGTCTGGGAGAAGATTCTTGCTTTATGGGCTGAGTTTATTTTACTTCTGGTTATAAACAAATGTAGTGTATACACACATCTGTCCAAGAAATCTTGCACAATGTGGATTTTACATTAGGTATCATGCACAAGATTAAAAACAAGACCAAAAGGTGAAACTTTTAAAAGAGGAAAAGATAAAGGCTCCAAGGTTTAATTGCTCTGGGAAGAAGAGATCACATCCGTTGACTGAGGATCACAAAAAGGTCCAAAACGTCCATAAATATCCTTGGCTCGTACTGCAAAATAGTATTTGCTGCCAGAAACAAACTGGGTGAGAGTACAAGCCATGGGCAAGGGAAGAGCCTTTACTTCCCCAATCTTTTTCCATTGTGAGGGCACAGTGGCACTGGGTTCCTCGTGGTAAGCATAGAGATGGTAACTTTCCACAGTAGCACAGCTTCGATCCACCTCCAAGACACTCCATGACAGTACAATGCCATTTTGACTCTGAACTCGTGCTAACTTCAAGTGTGGCTTCTGAGGCAGAGAGGTGCTGGCAGCTTCTGGGGGCAGACGCTGTGGTTGTGGGGCTTCTGGTAAGGGTGCAGGGTGCACGGGGCGTGGGGGCTCCTAACAAAAGAAAAATCACATTCTTTACAGTGATCACAGAAAGAATTATTATAGAATGCTAGAATTAAGACACCCTAGAGATTACATATAGAGCTATCATTTTCCATAAATTGGTGTGGGATACCACACTAAGTTTCAAAAGTTCTATTTGGTATTTTGTAACCAATCATGTTTTGGGAACAACGGTGTTAAGGGTACTTCTACTAATACTCCTGAGACCTAAAATATTGAAGTTTTTCTTGATAAATAAAATGTTCTTGCTGATAGAATATCATTTTTTAAGAGACAGTAAGCCAGATGCAGTGCCACATGCCTGTAATCTCAGTAGCTCGAGAGGCTGAGGCAGGAGGATTGCAAGTTCAAAGCCAGCCTCAGCAACTTAGTGAGGTCCTAAGCAACTCAGTGAGAACTTGTCTCTAAATAAAATACAAAAAAAAAAAAAAAAAAAAGGGGGGAGCTGGGGATGTGGCTCAGTGGTTAAGTGCCCCTGGATTTCAATCTCCAGTAACAAAAGAAAAAGAGACACTGTAAAAGTAGAAATCATATACCTCTAAAAAATTAATATCTGATTTAAGTAACTATTCTATAGATTCTCACTTGAACATAACATTCTTTAAAATCATGTTTGAAAGTTTATCATATGAAATTGAAGTATACATTATATTTTCATTTTGAAGCTGTTTTGCCAATAAAGACAGTATCGTATTCTTATAAATAAGTATATTTAAAGTTGAATGCATATTATGTCCTTGGTAAGCTTGCAATTGGTGATTGGTGATATTTAAATTGCACCATGAAAAATAGGACTTAAAGAGATGCAGAAATAGTTATGTACCTTTCAGTCAATAGGTAAAGCATAAGCAAAATCATGGGGATACTAAAGTGAGAGGGTTTACAGGCCAGAAAACCTTTTTCTTAGCCATAGGGTTATGTGAATGGAAATAAATAAATAATAGATAGATAGATAAATAAATAAATAAAAATTTGGGAAGGTAGGTTAAGGCTACATAATGAAAAAGCAGGATACTAACTTTAAAAAACCCTCTTGACAGATAATATCTAAAACTGGAACAATGTCATTATTGTAAATATTATTGTTATATCTGGGTGTTAGGTAACAATGAGAATAATTTCTTCAAAAATGATTTAGTTGAGAACCAGAAAAAAAGGTGTATGAGTGATTTTTTTTTTCCTCCAAGTGGAACATATCATTGGTTCACTGACTTTATACTGGAAGTCACATAACAAACAATTAATTGCCTTAATTGAAATTCACTTAACAAATATTATATATAGTTAAGGCTGGGGTGTAGCTCCGAGCATACTTAACAAGAAGGGGGCTGCAAGTTAAATTCCCAGCACCATTTTGTTATGTGAATAATTTGTATAAACTAAATATTAAATACTAAAGATCTAATAAGATCTTTTTATATTTCCGTGGCAGGCTAGTGATGTGGCTAAGTGGTAGAGTGCCTGCTAGCATGCATGAGGCCCAGGGGGTCAATCCCCAGTACCACAAAACAAACAAATATATGCCTCATAGAGTCAAGCTGTCTAAAGTATAAGAAAAAGTATTCTAAAATTCTCAAGAGAAACTTCAAGTCATATTTAAGGGTATCCCCACTGAACTAATAGCAGATTTGTTAACAGAAACCAGGATGTCTAGGAAGGAATGGAATAATGCAATCCAAGCCCCGAAAGAAAATTACTTCCAAGCAAGATTACTAGACTTAGCAAACCTATCCTTCAGAATGAAGAATAAAGGCCTTGAGACAAGCAAAAATTGGAAGGAATTCACAACAGCCTGACAAAAACATATTTTAAGGGAGTCTTATATCCAAAAGTGAAAGATTATTATCATCATAAAAGCATATGAAAATATAAATCCCACTAGAGGAGGAGAAACACAAAGGAGAAACATTAAAGAATAAAACGTTTTCAATATAGTACACTATCAAAACACAAAGATGAATAAGGAAGAAAAATAATTAGAATATAATCAATAACAGTAATATTATTATTACCAATAATAATTATTGAATGTAAACTAAAATCTCCAAATAAAAGATTTATACTGCTTAAATGGATAAAATGCCAAAACCCACAATATGCTGTCTACAAGAAAGTTGCTTTACCAGTAAAGACACATACAACCTGAAATAAAAGATAGAAATGGAAACCCAAGCTAGCAGGAATAGCTATACTTCTATTTGACAAAATAAGACTTTAAAAAGACAAAAACTAAAGAGATGAAGAAGGTCACTATATAATGTTCAAGGGATCAATTCAGTAAGAGATAACATAAAAATTATAGATCTATATGTACCTAATGTCAGAGCATTCAATTTTATAAATAAAAAAAGCCTTTTTGACCTACAAGAATAGATAGATTCCAATTCAATAATAGGAATGCTCACATTGTACTTTCATCAATGGAGAGGTAATCCAGACAGAAAAGTCAACAAAACAAAGTTAAAACTCTACTACAGATCAAAGAGACTTAACATATGCCTAGAAACTATTTCATACAATACCTCTGGAATACAATCATTTTCATCAGCCAATAAAACTTTCTCTAGACTAGACAACATATCAATCAGGCCACCAAAAAGAAAAAAAAAATCTTAACAAATGTAAAAAACTGAAACCATAGCCTTTTATCTTTTCTGATAACAATGGAATAAAACCAGAAGTCAACAACAAAGGACATTTTAGAAAGTATACCAATCAATTAACAACTGAACAACACACTTTTGAACCAACAATGAGCCACTGAGTCAGGATTTCTCACTGCAAATGAACATGGAAATATATCAAAACTATGGAATTCAGCAATAGTAGTACTGAGGTAAGTTTATAACAATGAATGCCTACATCACAAAAATAGAGAGATTTCTTTAAAACAACCTAATGATATATCTCAAGGGCTCAGAAAGCAAGAACAAACCAAAACCCAAATTTAAAGGAAAGAATAACAAAGATTGTAATAGAAATAAACCTAGACTTAAAAGGGAAGGTGAATTTGATCGGTACATGTGATATCCATGTATGGAAATATCATACTAAATCCTATTAATATGTACAGTTAGTTACTAATGTATATGAAAAAATATAACTCCATGCAAAGCTTAGTACTGTGATGTGCATACAGTAAGAATGCATAAAAAATATGCTAACTAATACACGAAAAACTGAAGTAGAATTGATATGAGTATTGGTCAAGTTGCTATATTTCCTCTAAAGTTCTCTCTTTTCCTAAAGCGACTTAATCACTTCAGTAAAAAGCATTAAATAAACATATAGCTAGCCTTTGACTGGAGGGATCACAGAGTTTTACGTGTTTGATAATAGCTGAAATGGCCTATAAAATCAACTTTTATGATTCTGAATCTGCTCAGACCTCACAACTAGTTAAGTCAAATGAGTATTTATTTTTGCCACTGCAGTGGAGTTTTGTTTTGATTTTTTTTTTTTTAAGTCACAGAAGGACACAATATCTTAATTTTATTTATTTTTATGTGGTGCTGAGGATCAAACCAGTGCCTCACATGCTAGGCAAGTACTCTACCAGTGAGCTACAACCCCAGCTCCTGCAGTGGAGGTTTTAACTGAAGTTTTACAGAAACATATAACATCAGTGCTTTGCTCAAAAATAATTGAGCATATGCCTGAGTATAAACAGATGGGTGGCAATATGGATGAAATAAAGTTGGTCATGTGCTGATAACTGTCAAAATAGGGTTATCAGTACTGAAGGAATGGTTATACTGTTTTTTCTTTCATATATGTTTGAAAACAGCTATCTCAAAAGTATTTTAAAAATTGCATTAAAATTAAAAGAAATGTCTATTTCTCTGGTGAGATACAGTTCATTTTAAGATAATACACAAGAAATTATTCACTTAAAATTTTTTTTAATTTTGTAAAAAGCTCTGATGGGTTATAAAATTTGCAAAGAATACTATAAATGACATTTTTGCTGTGTTTTTTAAAGAAATATTTGATGAAAACTTATTTGTAACTGCAAACAACAGAAATAACCTATTTGTCACATACCCAAATACAGCCAGAGTTGAAGTATTGTGAATATACTCTAGAGGTCCTAAGATTAGGCCATTTCTGGTTCTGGCTCTGACTAGCTTAAGTAATGATACTGAGGAATCATTTAACAACTTGTGACACAGCACACCATTTTCTTCCCAAAAGGAGAATAATAATTTTATTCCTCATAGGACTGTGAAGATTAAACAATACATATGAAATATTTCATAAAGTACCTAACATATATTGAATGCTCCACTGATATTACTTTTTCCACTACAGTGAAATAATAAAAATCATTACTAAAAGACTATAGAACAAAGACTATAGAGCTAGATTCAAGGATCTCTAGGAGGTATGACCTTAAGTTGGTTAACAAACTTGGTGAACATGGACCACATCTATAACAAAAAAGGGGAGGAAGAGGGGAATACTGGAGATTAAACTCAGGGGCATTCAACCACTGACCCACATCCTTAGCCATATTTTGGAGACAGGGTCTCACTGAGTTGCTTAGCACCTTGCTTTTGCTGAGGCTGGCTTTGAACTTGCAATACTCCTGCCTCAGCCCCTGGAGCCACTGGAATTATGGCGTGCACTACCACACCTGACTGTAACAAAAAAATTTTAAAAGTCCTTTAGGTAGCAGTCCCAAAGAACTCCTGGATTAGGACTAAGTATACTAACAATGCAGGGAATATGTTAAACACTCATAAATGCTAGGCATTATTATTAGTATTTACAAAGAGATGTTCTCCTAGGAAATAAGTAATATCAAACCCAATCTCTTGTCTTCCTCTCATAAAGCAAGCATACCAATTTTCATGATATTCCATTCCAATCAATGCTATCATATTCATGTCACAGAATGATGTGACACTGTTTTAGAGGTTAAATCTAATGATAAAGCTTTGGTTTTCTCCGCCTTAACAAATGAATTTCCTAAACCAGTGGATTATTTAAAACAATAAATTAATAATAATATAGTAGTTAGGACTGATATAAGATTTTGAGGAAAAGAGTAAAGTTAGAACATAAAAAAATTAAAAATACCATTTGTATGCCATAAGCAAACTCAATGATCATTACCTCAATGATCATTATTCATAATGGTAAGACCAACTTTCTTAAATAAACTCCTACTGGAAGAGCAGAAAGACCTGTCATTTCCCTTTAGTATTACTACTTGAAAGAAAAAATTCTAGCTACAATAATATTTAACAGTTGTATAGTTGAGAATTTTATAAAGCCAAGCATCAACATTTACAGTATGCACTTGTGGTGGTCGGTGATGCACTGTGAGCTGAGGACCTGCTGATCCCAGAGTTAATCCATTGTTAACAACATATGTGGTTGTTTGAGGCACTCGAACTGTAACACCTATAAAAAAAAAATTAAGGAATAACATCAGAATTCTGTAAATTTAGTAGAACACTGATTTAACACTTGATGATAGTGAAGCAATATTTTTAGAATGCAGAAAAAAAAATTTCCAAACTAGAAGTTTATACTTGGCCAAACTATCAGTTAAGCATGAGGAAATCTTCATAATATGCAAGCACTCAAAAAATACAAAAAATACAGAAGATAATTAGAAATTATTTTGAAACCCTATACTCTAATAAAATAGAGGATAGTGAAGGCATCGATAAATTCCTTAAGGCATATGAGCTACCCAGATTGAGTCAGGATGATATAAACAACCTAAACAGACCAATATCAAGTGAGAAAATAGAAGAAGCCATCAAAAGACTACCAACCAAGAAAAGCCCAGGACCAGACGGATATACAGCAGTGTTTTACAAGAGCTTTAAAGAAGAACTAATACCAATTCTCTACAATCTATTTCAGGATATAGAAAAAGAGGGAGTACTTTCAAATTCATTCTGAGGCCAATATCACCCTGATTCCAAAACCACATAAAGACACTTCAAAGAAAGAAAACTTCAGACCAATATCCCTAATGAATTTAAATGCAAAAATCCTCAATAAAATTCTGGCAAATCGGATACAAAAGTATATCAAAAAGATCATGCGCCATAATCAAGTGGGATTCATCCCTGGGATGCAAGGATGGTTCAATATACGGAAATCAATAAATGTAATTCACCACATCAATAGACTTAAAGATAAGAACTATATGATCATCTCCATAGATGCTGAAAAAGCATTCGACAAAATACAGCATCCCTTTATGTTCAAAACTCTAGAAAAATTAGGGATAACAGGAAATCACCTCAAAATGGTAAAAGCTATATTTGCTAAGCCTCAGGCCAGCATCATTCTAAATGGAGAAAAATTGAAGGCATTCCCTTTAAAATCTGGAACAAGACAGGGATGCCCTCTTCTCTCACCACTTCTATTCAACATAGTTCTTGAAACACTAGCCAGAGCAATTAGACAGACGAAAGAAATTAAAGGCATAAATATAGGAAAAGAAGAACTTAAATTAGCACTATTTGCCGATGACATGATCCTATACCTAGCAGACCTAAAAAATTCAACCAAGAAACTTCTAGAACTAGTAAATGAATTCAGCAAAGTGACAGGACATAAAATCAATACCAATAAATCAAAGGCATTCCTGTATATCAGTGACAAATTCTCTGAAATGGAAATGAGGACAACTACTCCATTCGCAATATCCTCAAAAAAAAAAAAAAAAAAATTCCTGGGAATCAACTTAATAAGAGGTGAAAGCTATACAATGAAAACTACAGAACCCTGAAGAAAGAAATAGAAGATCTTAGAAGATAGAAGGATTTACTTTGCTCATGGATTTGTAGAATTAATATTATTAAGATGGCCATACTACCAAAAGCACTTTACAGATTCAATGCAATTCCCATCAAAATCCCAATGACATTCCTTGCAGAAATAGAAAAAGCAATCATGAAATTCATCTGGAAAAACAAGAGACCCAGAATAGCTAAAGTAATTCTAAGCAGGAAGAGTGAAATTGGTGGTATCGAGATACCAGATTTTAAACTATACTATAGAGCAATAGTAACAAAAACAGCATGGTACTGGCACCAAAATAGGCTGGTAGACCAATGGTACAAACTAGAAGACACAGAGACAAATCCATAAAATTACAACTACCTTATATTAGACAAAGGTGCTAAAAGCATGCAATGGAGAAAGGATAGCATCTTCAACAAATGGTGCTGGGAGAACTGGAAATCCATATGCAACAAAATGAAATTGAATCCCTTTCTCTCACCATGCACAAAAGTCAACTCAAAATGGATCAAGGAGCTAGGAATCAGACCAGGGACTTTGCGTCTAATAGAAGATAAAGTTGGTCCTAATCTTCATCACGTGGGGGCAGGCCCCAAATTTCTTAATAAGACACCTATAGCACAAGAGTTAAAATCAAGAATCAACAAATGGGACGAATTCAAACTAAAAAGTTTTTTCTCAGCAAGAGAAATAATATGCGAGGTGAATAGGTAGCCTACATCCTGGGAACAAATTTTTACCCCTCAAACATCAGATAGAGCTCTAATCTCTAGAGTACACAAAGAACTCAAAAAGTTAGGGCTGGAGATGTGGCTCAGCGGTAGCGCGCTCGCCTGGCATGCGTGCGGCCCGGGTTCGATCCTCAGCACCACATACCAACAAAGATGTTGTGTCCGCCGAGAACTAAGAAATAAATATTAAAAA